CACCCCTGGCATTTCTGTTCTTTTATTCCCATTTTAATATTCTTTGGGCACTTAAATTCTGACCAGAGTTGGCTGTGGCCATCTAAGAGATTGTTTTTAAAAGGGACACGCATCTTCACTACCCTCCTTAAGTCCCTATATTAGTTACAGGCACATGGATGTTCAGTAAACATTTGTTGAGCAAATAAATAAAGAGAACGTAGCAAAATGCCATGCTGTGCCTCCTCCAGTCACACACGCAGCCTCTCTGTGTTGTCAATGCCCAGTTTATATTTTCTCCCCACAGCAATTGGCTCACTGGTCAGGGGCTGGGAGCACTTCCATGTACACAGAAACCGAACAATATTTTAAACGGATTAAGATGCTAAATTGGTAGAGAGCTGCTGTGAGTAGGATGAGCTGACAATGGTCATCACCAAAGGGTGTCAGAGAAGTAAGATGCAGTCACTCATCGTGATACCAAAGCAATGAAGGAGAATCCGCCCTTCTACCGCCAACCCAGGACGAGCAAAAAAGCAGGCCTGCCTTTCTGAAAACACAGCTCAATTCCCATCTGCAAACAACGATTAGACATCCCTTTTCTGCACCACCACGCGGCATGGTATTTCCATGACCCGGCTGACTACTGGGACACAGAAAAGCCTCTCACCACCCACTCCCAGACTTCGTCATTCGTCATGAACCTCTGGTGCAGATCAGTTTACAAGCTTTGATTGCTAGGATGATAGGTAATACCACAACCTTTACTTTACAAAAATGAAATAAATGCACAGAAAGAAAAATCAAATGTTTATCAGAGAACAATGGCTCAGCCACCTCCAACTCTAAAAAGAGATTTCTTGATAGAAATAAATAGATCAGACTGGCAACTCCCTTACAATGGGGGTGCTCCTCTGTGATCCTCAGATTTGAAAACCATGCAAAAAGGAGTAAAAGAAGCTCCTCCATAGCCTGGCTAGCTGGCCTCAACACCCCTACCCCTGATTTCTATAATGTCCACTAGGCGATCACTATGGATCCTTCAAATCCAAGTCATAACCAAAACAAAATGACTGCCCTTCTTGCATTATAGAGAAATATCCTTTTCTACCTTTAAATCAGCTCTATTATAATATCAACAACATCAGAAATGGCATTCACTCAAGGGGGAAAAATTAAAACATCGTTCTTATAAGTCAATCACTAACACGTCAGTGTGGTGACCGCAATTACTGCTGTGTTTCTGAAGAGTCCAAGTCAGGAAAGATTTAAATGCCAGGAATCCCCAGTTTGGAATATGAATCAAAATGGGGAAACACAAGTCCTTTTCTTATCAGCCAAGGACCCAAATGGGATAAAACTACATAAAACCACGGACCCAAAGTCTATAACCGAAAGTGACACACCAAAACAATATCACTTGTGTGAAATCAGCAGATTCTTTAACGTCTGCTTTTCAAATTGAATAACACAAGAACAGCATTACTGGTGAATTTGGGCATTTTGCGTATTTAATACGTAATGGAGGAGCACTGACCTTTATAGAACCAGACTCAGCTAGCATGCGCCCAGCTTTGTGTTATGTGCTTTCCTAAGTACCCTAACTTCCCCCACTGACTCACTATGTCATCTTAGGCATATTTGGCAGCCTTTATACGTCTCAAATTCTCTAAGTGATCATGGTGTCAAGCTCACAGCCCTGTTGTGAAGATGAAATGAGTTAATACGTGCGATTAGATCAGTGCCTGGCGTGCTTAGTGAGGATTTAGGAACCACTGTTGTTGTCACTATCACCAAGGTTATTGTCATTGCAAAGAACCCTCACCAAAACCCAGGGCGGTGGTTATTATTACCTCTATTTTTAAAAAGGAGCAAATGGAGGCTCAGAGAGGTTGAGAAAATTGCTCAAAGTTACGCGCATTGAGTGCTGGCGCTGGTATATGAGTCTTGATTCAAAGTCTAGTCTTTCCACTCCCTACCAGCCCCTCCCCAGCCACTGCAATGAAGCTATAAATAAATGCGTCTGAATCAGCAAAAAGGGCTTCCTTACATTTACAACTTCAAAGTGGCGTAATAATTGTCTCAAAATTCTTTTGATCAAAAAATAGCACCTCCAGAGAAGACTACTTGAAAAGGAACATTATTAATTGTCAGGCATTTAGCTGAGATAAGACAGAGTCCTTTAATGTCCTAGATGTCTTGCAAGTAGCTTAGGAAGATGGGCAGGATGGGGAAAAAAGCACAAGATAAGGCACTAGAAATTCTGGGCTGAGTCCCTGCCTCTCCGCTCCTCTGCTCACCGCTGTGAGGTCTTAGACAAGTTGCCCAGACTCTCTACACCAAGCGATGGTTGTGAGGACTAAATAAGACAATGCTTGTTACCACAGTGTGAACTTGAGGGCTCTGTGGAAGCATAAGCGCTTATTTTCATCATCACAGTCCAGGTGCCAGTAAAATCTGTTTCTTACGAACATAAGCTCAAAGGCAAAACTACCCAACCTTTTCTGAAATGACCCTTTAATAGATCAATGAGCTTGACTGAAACTCCGCAGTGTTTGACACCATTTCCATTCCTAGAAACCACAAGCTAAACATGGAACACGAGATGCTCTCCTGTAAACTCCAGCGCCTCTTCCTTTGGAACTCTGAGGAGCATTCTAGTGTCGCATCCTTTCAGCTCATAAGCCTCCTTACAGAGAACAGGTGAGGGACACTTTTGTTCCCGGGGGACAAGACCCTCCATTTCATCTAACTGTGTTAATGAATGTAAATACTTTGCTCCCTGGACACTGCAAAAACTGGGACGAGGAAGGAGGCTCATGTATATCCAACCTTTACCACCGAAATCCAACACATGAACTTCTCCACCCAGGAGAGCTGAAGCAAATGGGAATGATAAAGTGAGTTAATGGCATGTCTACACCCACCAGTCCGGATATACTCTCAGTAACGATCCCCACGCCGACACCACATGCTAATTCACCAGCATCATCCATCACTTTTCTTTTGGTTTTTTTTCCAACTTATCCAAACTTTATTCAATTTCCATCTGAGAGCTAGTAGTCACAGTACTAAGTTGTTATATCATTAAAATGTCCATTCTACTATATTTAATGTGCACACATACAGTTTGAGATGTATAGACTGTGATTAAGAGGGATTTCTTATGCTTTGAAGTAGTATAAAATTGTCCAACACTCTTTCTCTGCTGTTGAATAATTGATACGATTACATTCTCAAGGTCAACAAATATGAAAAGAAGGAAAAGGATCTTCAGTAACAAGGTAAATGGAATTTGTGGCATCATTTCCGTTGGTATTTGTAATGTCAATTTACATTTTCACCATCAGAGGTCATGAAAGAACAATGGTGAACAGAAAATTTGAGCTTTGTTCATCCATCACTTTTCTTGACTACAAAAACCCTACTAGTCTTGTCTAACCTTTCACAACAATCTGATGCTGCCCTCCAAATATCTGTTTTAATTCTTAGATCAGTTTCCCAACTAACTATAAATAAAGGAGTTCTAGTTCCCAAAAAACTAAACAGTGAGGTCTCCTGCCTCCTTCTCATCCTCACTTCCAAAGAGCCTGAAGTCAAATTATCAACACTCAAACAGCAGTTTACAGGGTCAAACTCTTAAAAAAAAAACTCAACAGCCCAAATATCTCCAGAAAAGAAATGTCCAAATAGTGACAGTTTGAGGAGGCCCCCTGCTCCAGACACACACACAACAACAACAACAACAAATCTGATTTGCAAGCTTGTCACTCCACAGTGAGACCCACCAATGGACAAGGTGTGCTCACACACACAGATTCTAATCAACTCACTGGGTCCCAACATCCAAACATGGGTATACTTCCCCAAGCCAGTAAAGACAGACAAAAACAAACAGAAAAAAAAAAAGAAAAAATAAGTGGGATTCAGAGAAAATGCAGACAGCAAAATAATCTTGAAAACAAAAACAAAGAAAATAAAACACTTGATCGATAATCCTCAAAGAGAAAAAAGAAATTAGTGCATCCATAATCTAAGAAGAAATACAGAAACAAAACAGTCAACAGTGATTAAGAAAGGGCTGTTGGATATTAAAAATAAAATAGCTGAAACTTTAAAATATCAGTAAAAAGGCTAGAAGATAAAGTCAGGGAAATCTTTCAGAAAGTAGAACAAAAGATCAAGTAGATGAAAAACAAAAGAGAAAAGATAAGAAATTAAAGCCTCCATCCAGAAGGTGTAACATCTAAATAACAGGAGAGCCAAAAGTATAGAATACTGGGGAAAATGTAATAAAAATAGTAAATAATAAAACTTGAAGTTTTGAAGAACTGAAAGGCATGAATCTTCAAAGACAGCTTACAAAGTCCTCCCACCATTGCTTTAATATTGCAAATAAACTCCAGGACATCTGCTGGATCTTCTAATTTCTCTGATTTATCACAGGAGCTGAATGTACCTCTTTTACCAATATTTTCATAACTGATCAAATCCTTAATTTCTACACTATTTGTGCTTTTGGTTATTACAGTATACACTAAGTTCCTTGGTCTAATCAAACTAATAGCCACTGTTTTTACATTAATATTTATACACTTGCAACTATCCAAAGCATAAAATGTACTCTTCCAATAAAGGTAATTGTTCAATTCAGACTAACAAAATTGGTCTTAAGCTTTTTAAAAATACGTAACTCAACACTAATAGAATGTATTCTCCAGTTATAAATCTAAAACTTTTACTAACGTAATTCCAAACCCTCTCACAATTTCCTTTGAAGTTTAGCTTTTATATACAAGCAGACAACACACCCAATTCCATTAGTTTTAAGTCTTCCTTAACCAGACACATTTAGGTTTATAAGTAAGGAAGTTACTACTCAAACATATGCATTTCATAATAATGGCTCTCAAGTGTTTACATATTCAAATCCACTTATTGTGGTTTAGCTTTAAAAACAGGCAAATTGATTTAATAAAAACCAATTCAAACTTGGCATTTAGGAAAAGCAATTTGTTTACCTCTGTTGGTTTGTAGCAGTCTACGAGAGCTTCCTAGAATAAAATACACAGAAATTTTATTTTAAAATTCAGCATCGTTTTAAAAGTGAAATCAAAAATCACTTCATCTTTATAGTATTATTCTGAACATGGTAAATCAAGATTCCATACTGACTGTCTAGAATCACACTTCATTTTAGCATCCATTGGCCTTCTGAAGATACAAAAAGTTGTACCCTGTATTTGCAGGAATGTCTTGCACTCTTCAGAACGCACGCACGGGGGAGCGAGTGCACACGTACACACACACGACACACACTTGTCCTTTGGGCTGCCAACTTGCTTAATAATAAGCTGGATACACTTAAGTTGAGACAGCCTGTGAGAGATGGTGACAATCACACTGGACGTGGAGACCGAGGTCCTGGCTGTGATTCAGCCACAAAGCAGCTTGTCACACCTCTGCACACTTCAGTGTCCTCACCCGGGAACCAAAGGGGATGACCTGACAGCAGCTAAAGCGCCTTTCAAGATCAACCTTTTAAGAAAAATTTTTTATGTGGTTACGTTTTCTATAGAGCTGGTGCCTGCTTTATTTTTTTTGATAACTTTCATAACTAGGATGCTACCACCTCTCAACTAAATTTACCAACAGGAAATAATCATTAAACTGAGCTTGTTCACCACTCAAGGACACTAGTAATTATTAATACATTAAAATGTGCCCTTTAATTGCCTGTAGCGATCATTTGCCATCAGTGATGGCCGTTAACAGTCATTATCATGAACATTAAGAACAGTGGTAGGTCAAAGGTTAATTAGTTTTAGAAACTCCCAAATGCAGATTTTAAATTGATAGATTTGACCTCCTGTGGGAATGTAAATAAATATTTTATTCCTCTGGACAAAGGAAACACAGAACATCACAACATCTATCATACTGGAATGTTGTCACGTGAACATACTCCAATAAAAGATATTTTATTAAAATCTTCAAAAACAAAAATATTATATTTTATTAAAAAGAATTATGTTGTAAACAATCTTAACTAGAAATTAATTTCATGAATGATTCAATCCACAATTGCAAGACCAGAATCCTGGGCTTAGATACGCCGGTTCTGGCTCAGCCCCTCTCTTTCTCATACAACGGACCTTTGGAGGCAGAACCATCTCTCTGTCCCAAGAAGACGATGCTGGAGAAACTCATGTTCGTAAGGCACTTTGAGAACTGACCATAGTCAAGACCTCCTTTATCATTAGACATGCAGTTTGGGAGGTGGAAAACTCAGCAGCCCATTGCCTTCTCTCTGCAAACTGTCGTTGCCTGAGTGCTGGGGCCAATACTGCCCTAGGGCAGAACCAGTGCAAGCCACGCTCTGGGGACACAGGTGGGTTCAAGTATCCGTGACCAAAGGGTTTAGATTCTGAACGCTGCTTACCTGTAACTTTAAAGCTCTCTCTTCTTCGCTGTCTGCATCAAGAAGATCATCAATGTCAATTTCCACATCTGGCATTTCTTCTTCCTGGGGAGCAAATGTGAAGACATTCTGTTTAGTGAGATAGTGCATTGTATTGAACCTATTTGGTTGAGTTAAATAAATGACCAGACCATCAGTTAAGGGGCATCGACAATTAAGGCGGGGAAAGAAGAGATGAGGAGGAAGAGGAGGGAAAGGAGGAGAAGGACCGGGGAGCAGAAGACAGAAAGGGGGAAGCAGGAGAAAAAGGAAGAAGAGGCAGGAAGGGGAAGGAGGAAAGGAGGAGGGAACAGGAAGGGAAGGAGGAGACAGAACAAAGGAGACTTCAGAGGCACAGAGCAGTAGAAAGTCATGCTATTTCCAAAGTGACAATTTCCTACTTTCTGCAGAAAACTGCACTTAAGAGTATATAATGGGGCTTGGCTGATTGTAGGACGAGCAGTGAGAGTGGCAATCTCCTACTCACTCTCCCCACTTCCCTTGGTGACTATCTGATCTTTATTTGGGGGTTTGCATCTCCCTTCCTAGCTCTGGGTCTGGGAAAACCTGATTCCACCACGGGTTTCTGAGGCTGCGCTCTTGAGTCACTGTCACCCCAGTCCTGGTTTCGGACTCAAATGAGACCAGTGGGGGTTCTGGGAAAAGATGCTCTTTCAGCAGAAGCATCCCTGCTGGAGAGCAGGCTGAGAAAGCTTGTAACCTAGAAATTGCTGGCAGCCATCACGCAACCACAGTGGGAGAGTCTGACTCATGGTGGGCAGAGTAGGGAGAAAGAAAAAAAGAGGGCTCTGGATAACGTTGCTGAGTCACCAAGTCGAATCACTTCTGAAGCCCAGCTACACCCAAGTAAAGCCCGATTATTGTGAGTCAGGTTTAATACTCCTGCAGCCAAAGACATCCAGTCCATAACGGAGGGCAAGAGAGTCCAGCTGCAGTGTGGAAACAGACCTCACTAATTTGGAATCTGCACCTCCAACCCACAGGAGGTCTTTGCAACCTCTCATTTCGTCTGTTACCTGATCTTCCCCACACTCGAGAACACTGAGATGAAATCGCATTTAGGACAGTGCTGTCATCTTGCATTCCCCTTCCCATAGGGAGCCACCTGCACACCAACGCATCCCAGCCCCAGGGCTGGCCGAGGGGTGTCTGCAGAAGTTCGGCAGAAGCCTGTGTGGGGGACACCTGTGCGTTCACCTGGGCTTAGCCGCCCTGCGCCAGCGGCATCACCTGGTCTGCAGGGGCGAGGACGACTTCCTGAGTATTTCTTTTCTAGTAAATGCATTTCCTAAGGAATCACACTCCATCATTTTTTTTCCCTACTCCAACACAAAAGTGAGGACCCAAGCGTTCTGAGGAAATTGAGGAATCTGGTATGTTACTGTGAAGTTATAAGAAATATATATACATATTGTTCTCTACCCCCGGTTCCTGACACAGAGCTCTTAAAACTGTTGTAAATAGGGGTTCTGATTCTTGTTTCTTTACCATTGTAAGATATGCAATCCATTGAAAAGCTCAGATAAAGTAAAGGAGAAACTGAACCTAAAGCAAAGGGGCAAGTCTAACATCTTAGTCTTATTAAGATTAAAGTCTCTTTTAGAAATGTTAATAATATTACTAACAAAGAACGAAAAAAAAGCATAACTCCTTAGAAAATTTGAATGACCTCAGAACTGGGAAAGAATGCTTCCTGCTGGAGAACAGTGACAAGAATAAAATTAAAACACAATCACAATCCTGGCTTCCCAGGACATCAGAAAAGCAGTATGCGGTGGAAGTACGTATCTGCCTATGGGAATACCTGACGGTGCCTGCCGGGTCCTGGAGAGTCAGTCTACATGAGGGAATGAACACGCACCACCGCCCTCCGCTTAGAGGTGGCTGGGCTGCTGTGGTTCCCTCCTTCACTTTCAGAGCTGCTGTTTCAAAAGAGATGCCATTTTTAAGTGCTCCCAGGGGCAGAGCAGGGAGGTGGGTAGAGATGTGGCCTCCATCGGGGAGGAGGATGCTGGAGGATTCAGAGGATGCTGGGAGAGACCACAATGGGTGTGCATGCTGCTTGCCTGCGTGGGTACCAGCCTCCCTGGCCACGGCATCCCTTCTTCACTGGCATTCTCTGCCCCCAGCACTGCCTGTGCCTGACTTCCTATTTTTGCATATATTTGAAATCATGGCTGAAAGGAAGACCATAGGGGCGGTGGGGGAGGCTGGCAGGAGAGGAAGGGAGTCATTTAAGAATCCACAGATAGTGGTACAGCTCTCGAAGGTCTGCCAGACTTTCCATAGTGAAAGGACTGATGGGAACTGAAACACCAATAAGAAACACTAGGTTGCAGAACCACTGGCAGCCTATAAATGCAGACTGCTGCTGGGAAGCCGCAGTGTGGATAAATCACACATGCACGACCGGCCCTCCCCAGGCCAAAAAGTGCTGAAGCCACAGCCATTCGGCCTCTGGAGCAGAGCCAGGCACACGCTGTGTGTGCGTTCTAGCAAATGTGGCTCAAGATTAATTCAGCTTTGTCCACAGCCTGGTGTGGCTGTAATAAACACCGTGTGAAACCAGAATTCTCGGGGCCAGTTTCAGCTGACTTTACTCAAGAAAAGCCAAGCAAAAGCGAGAAACCCACAAGTTACAGTCTGTGTAAAGGTTTATACACCCTCCCCCTAAAATTTCCCCACAACTTCCCCCAGTCATTCGGGTTCAGCATTTACACACTGGTTGGACACAAAGTATGTATTTATGTCACCGTTTAATGAAATCAAGCAGAGGAGGGCAGGCTACAGAAATGGCTCGAGGAATCACAGGCCAGGTGGGCTCCGGGTCTGATTTCTTGAAGGAAGTGAAAGAATAAGTAAATAATGCCCTCGTCAGAACAGCGCAGCAACGGGCCTCCCTGCAAACAGCGCTCAGCTTTGAAGCCCTGCCAGACTCGGTCAAACGGGCTTTTACTTGCACCGCCGTGTACAGGCGCACCCACACGGGAGCGTCTGCAATTAGGTGTCCTGCCATCACGACTGCCCTGGCACGCTGACCGCATCTGACCCCCAGCTGTTGAGATCCGGGCTGCCCCATGCGGCAACCACAAGTGGGATGTAAGTTTAAGCTCGCTAAGATGACATACAATTAAGAATTCAGTTCCTCGGTTGCCCTAGCCACATTCCAGGGCTCAGCGCCACATGTGGCAAGCAGCTGCTGTCCCGGACAGACAGACGCAGGGCCTTTCATTCCCATTGGACAGGATGGCCCGAGAGTCCACTCTCCCTCTGGGCCCAGACTTGGGGAAGCAAGTCCCCTCCCCTCTCAGAGGAGCTTGACAGGAGTCAAGAAAACCCCCGGCATCGCAAGGTCACAGCCATGTCCCAAGGGCATGTGGCTGGGGCACCCTGGCCTTGGCTTTCTAAGTGGAACAGCTGATGCAAGCTAAGTATTCACCAGCTGAGTAATTATAGCAATAGTTAGGCATCAGCATTTCCTATCAACCTACGAGCTCCTCGTCACCCTCACCTACTTTTATCAGAGCCCAGGAGGGGTTCAGGCTCAGCGTGGGCGCTCGGAGCGTGAAACACAGGTGAGTTCTGAAGGCTGGTGATGCCGAAACCATAGCCCGGGTGAGGACACAGAGATGGGCCCTGGTGGTGCTCATGGGAGAGTCCTGGGAAGAAAAGGCTGCTCTAGTGCCCGGCATAGAATCCTGCCTGCATTCGGTATTTCACACTTAATGAGCGTGGGAATATTCCATATTTGATGGAGGCTCTCTTTAGTTCTATCTTCTGTATAAAGCGGTATCACTGAATAACCCTGGAGAGAGATCAATCCCCTGACAAGGGAGTGACTCCACGCACACCTCGCTCTGGTTAACAGAATTTAGTTGTGTTTGGGGATTTCCTCACATTAAAAATAGATCTGTCAACAGGGGCTCTGGCGACAAGATGAGAAACAATCTCTTCAGGGCGCCCGGGGTAAACCACAAGCTAACCCACGTTGAGTCAGAGGCCCTTGATCATGTCTGTGTATCTTTCTGGTCGTACATCTGCTGAGGATCCACCATCTGTGAAGCCCCATGTGTCAACGCTGTGAGGCCCTGTCCTGGAGGGGCAGTCAAAGCATGCAAACAAAATAAAACACAATGGCATCAAAAGACAGAGACAAACCCAAAGTGCTTTATAATTAAAGAGAGGGAGAACTTCCACCTGGGTCAGGCAGGGAGGGTCTCACAGAGGAGAAGGATATAAGCCGGCCTTGTTGAACAGCAGGATTTGGACAAGTTTATAAGGGGAGAGAGCACCCAAAAGAGGCAGACTGGTACACAGGAGGCAAAAACAGAAGGTGTGTTCTAAATACAGGGTGTAGAAAGGCCCTTGGTCTGGGAGTCAGAGAGCTCTGGGCTGCAAATATTAACATCTATGAAAGCCAGACAGATAACAGCGATGAGAGCCAAGGCAGGCTGGAGGGCTATAAGGAGGAGTGGGGAGCGTGGCAAACAAGACAAAGGCAGCAAAGAAAACTCCACTCCCGACTATTCAGGAACAGTTTAGGAAGATGTGCCCAGTGCTGTTAGATCTGCCAAGTTTGCAGGAAAGTTGAAAATACAGATTTTTAACATTAAAATATCCTGTTTTTTTAAAGTTGGTTTACAATTCATTAAAATATTGTGAAAGACAAATGAAATCCATCAGCCCTCATACTGCCAACTTCTCCTCTGCCTGCAGAGTCTGTAGCCACCGAGGGCTCCAGAGCAAGGGTGTGAAATGCTGGGAGCGAGGGCTCAGCAGAAGGGCCCTGGGCAAAAGGGAGGAGGCCATGCAGAGGCCGCTGTGCTCGTCCCAGTGGGAGGTAACAGGGCTTGGATGCAAGTTGATGCAAGTTGGCAAGAATGGAAAGATTTTAAACAGTAATAAATAGGAAGGGAAAGAGATGGAATTTGGAGATGAACCGGATGCTGGAGGAGGGAGAAGGGAAAGGTGAGATCCAGGTTTTGTGCCCTGGAGGTTTGGGAGATACACGCAGCAACAGAGAGCACACCTGGGACCTTGAAGAC